AGCAAAGAGAGGCTCAGAGAGGCGCAGGGACTTGCCTAGAGCCACACAGCAGGGCAGCAGGCCCGGGCTGTGCAGAGGGCCTGGCCAGCAGGAGCCGGCCCCATGGCTGCTGAGGGCTGGGAAGGCGCGGCGAGCCGTGCAGGGAGGAGAAACTGGAATCCGGGCCTTATCTCCCTGCCAGGGTAGAGGGGGGCCCCGGCTTCTCCCTGAAACTCCTGGGCGAAGGTGGGAACACCCATCGGTTCCGAAGTCAAAGACGGTGCCTCCTTTGAAGGTGTTGCTCCTGGGAGTGGGCGATCGGGGCTTGCTGGGTGACCCTCAACCTCTGTGCCACCCTCCCACCCCGGGCAGGTGACTCTGCCCCTCTGGGGCCCGGCTCCCTCCTCTGTGGCTGGGGACAGTCACAGCTGCCTCCTGGGGCGGGGGCAGGGATGAGCCCGGGGCGGAGGGCTCTGGGGGCTGCTTCAGACAGAGGGGCCCCAGCAGCTAAGCTGGGGGTGGTGGCCTCGTCACAGCTGAGCTGCTGTCCCTGGCTCTGAATCGCTTCCTCGAGGTGACAACAGACAAAAACGAAAGTGCCTTGAACACACACCCCCCCCCCCCGCCTCCCAGAGGCCTGGGTCCTCCCCCCTTCTCGGGGCACTCCACGCTGGGCAGGCCCGGGCACCTCTGCGTTCTGGGACCCCAACTTCAAGGACGTCACCCACCGTGGCGAGAAGCCCAGAGGAGACCCGCACCTGCTCCTAGCGGGACGCCTGGGCTGCGGCAGGCCACCTCACCGCCAGGACCTCACTCCCCGTCTGTGACGGTCAAGGTGGGGTGACCCGCGGCCCCCAGACAGGGCCTGCCAGCTCCTGCTGCAAGCGGGGGCGGGGCCGCTGTGCTGGCCCAGACAACCCAGAGTCCCCAACGTACGTCCCTTGGGTTTGCAGTGACAGACGGAAGCACAGTGTTCATAGGTCACACCAGGACGTCAGCTGCCAAGCAAGCTTGGAAGCCGAACTGCAACCCTCCCTGGACCCCTTGGGGAGGAACAGGGCTTCTAAAACTCCACGTCAGGGACTGACAACCCTTCAAAAAAAAAAAAGCCCTGTAACACCCATGACATGCCCCTGTGCTCTTAGGAGGGCTTAGTCTCTGGACAGAAAACGGCTGGGGGCCAGGCGCGGTGGCTCACGCCTGTAATCCTAGCTCTCTGGGAGGCCGAGGCGGGAGGATCACTCGAGGTCAGGAATTTGAAACCAGCCTGAGCAAGAGTAAGACCTCGGCTCTACTAAAAAAAAAAAAAAACAGAAACAAAATTAATTGGCCAACTAAAAATATATAGAAAAAATTAGCTGGGCATGGTGGTGCCTGCCTGTAGTCCCAGCTAATTGGGAGGCTAAGGCAGGAGGATCACTTGAGGTTGATATGAGCGAGGCTGACGCCACAGCACTCTAGCCCGGGCGACAGAGTGAGACTCTGTCTCTTAAAAAAAAAAAAAAGAAAGAAAGGAAACGTCTGGGGACAACACCCCCAGGAGGTAGGCAGATAGAGGAGGGCCCAGAGGCACCTTCCCTGACACCGGCTAACCCAGAGCCAGCTGCCCGCACGGCCTGCGTGGGGGCCGGACTCCACGTGCCCAGCCCCACTGGGGCCGGGCAGCCGGGCCAGGGTCCAGGCCTCCAGCGGGAACCAGCCATCAGAAACGGGGTGCCCAGGGTCCACAGGGGAAGGGGCGGCAGCATTTTGGCTCCTGTCTGCCTATAAAAGGCAAGCCCCCCTCTACGCTCCTTCCACTCAAAAGTCCTTAAAGAGATAAACGACTTCCTCTTAGATTCTGTGAAACCCATTTATTTTCAAGTTCCAGCTGCATGGGAGACCACATCCCCTTAAACGCGCCTTTCCCTCTGGAATCCGGGTGACTCAGACGCATTCGGTAACGCTGTGTATTAAGGACGCACCATAAAAATAAATTGCATTGTAAAAAGTGGCCTCTTTAACAGACAACCCTGGCTCCAGGGTTAAATGTCTAATTTCACACGATTACCCACGGAGAGATCTGGTAAATCAAAGCACACCTGCCCGGCCCTCCCGGCCTCGCTCCTCGCGGGGCCCGGCCCGGCACGGGTTAACCTGGGCCCCGCAGGATACGGAGCCTCTCCCAGGTAATGCTCCTCTGCGGCTGCCGCAATACCAGGAGCATCTCAGGACCAAATGCTCCCGAAGACAGCTGTCAGACACATTAGGAAAAAAAAAAAACAAAAAAAAACAGGAAGGGAAAAAAAAAAAAAGGAAAACAAAAACAAAAAAAAACCGAGGCAACACACCAAATGCCAAAATATAATGAAAATTCAAACAGCTAAAAACAAATATAACCATAAAAAGACTGGAGCCCTAGAAAAGCGATCTCCACAATTAAAGTGGTTTTCTGCTATATAGCGATAATCACCTAATTATACTATTAATGACAGTTCAACCTGCTTTGAAATAAAGGGACATTCTCCCATAACAGGATGCCAGCTGTTGGCTACAGATGTCAAACATCTTTAAAGTATTATTATTAAGGGGGAGGGGGGAAAAAACCCTATAAAATGAAGGCATCCATGTCCGCTCTCCCCCCTCCCAAGGGAAAAAAAATATCGCAATTAGCCGTGTGCTTTTGCGGTGCCTGCGCGGAAAAAAAAATAATAAAAATAAAACCTAAGAAGCCCGAGGAGGAGGCCAGAAGCGAGGGGAGTGGAGAGACGGGAGCCGGTCCCCCGACTCCCCGGGCCCGGCCACCAGCACGAGGGCGCCGGGAGGGTCATGTGTGTATTCTAGCTGCATCTTTAATTCCTCGCGATGAAATAATCTCCGGAGCCAGGATGTTTATGCCGGATAATACATCTCCCAGCAAGGCTGCCAGAACTCTCCCGGCCGTCGGCAGGAGTGGTTGTCAAGTGCCTCGCGGGGACGCAGTTGCTGCCGCCGGAGCCGTGACAGCCGCGGGTCGCCGAGGTGGCTGGGGCCCGCCCGCCCCGAGCCCCGCGGACATATGCTCGGCCTTCTCCGCTGCCAGTATTTCTTCCAACTGCGAGCGCCTCTGACATTCTGGAGCGCCAAGGTGTAATAAATATCCAACTTTGTCTTCTGACAATAGGCAGCCACATTTAATTAACTGGAGCATAAAGGCCGGGGGGCGGGGGAGAGGGGCGCGGGCCGCCGCGGCGAGGGGATTAACCTTTTAAGCGAGCGGCCGGCAGGGCAGGGGGGCGGCCGGCCTGCTTGTCGGGAGGGTGGGAAGACAAGCTCGCTCCGTCTAGAAAGGGGGCACGCGGGGTTAAATCTACCCTGCCTGCCAGGGGAGGCGAGGAGCCCCCCGGGGGAGTCCCAGGGGGAGGCCTAGGGCAGCGGGAGGACAGGCAGGCGGCCTGGCTGGCCAGCAGGCACCCTGGCTGGAGCCGGGCAGGGGAGGCGCAGGGGGCCTGAAGCCGGGAGAAACCCACCCAGATCTCCGCAGAGATCTCAAAGCGGGCAGACGGGCACCGCGCCTTCCGGCAAAAACACGGGCCACATTCGAGACCTGTGTGTGCCCCCTCTTGGCCCCCTGGCACCGGAGGCAGGGCGGAGGGACCCGGCAGGGAGGCGCGTGGCTTCTGGATCTCCTCTGTAAGGTCGCTGCCGTGGCCTCCTGACCCCGGGGCCTTGTCAGGAGGCTGCTTGGAGCTGAGCCGCTGCTGACGCAGGGCATCAAGCCTCAGGCTTTAATGGGATAGCAGAGGCCGCGCCAGAGGCCGCGCCAGAGGGCGGCCTGGCTCTGCGAGCTGCTGCAAGGCTCGGCCTGGTGTCAGGAAGAGCCCACCTGGCTAGGCTCCGAGCTTGCTGCGTGACCCCGGGCAAGTCACTTGCCCTCTCTGGGCTGCAGCCCAGTAAGGGACACCGGGATTTTTCCCAGGCTGGCTTCCCCCCCGCAGAGCTGCAGAAAAGCACTCCGGGCGCCTGCGACGACGGAGGGCCATTTATCCAGTTTACAACTTCCAGGGCCCTCAACAGCTTCCCTTCTCCCCCACAGGCACGCCGGGCCGAGCCAGCTCTGCACCGGCTGGACGGCCTCCAAGAAAAACTCCGGCTCCGGGGGCTGCTGGCGAGAGCCAGGCGGGAGGCCCAGCGCCCGCCGTGCGGGGAGGGGGAGGCGTGGACCTCCCCCAAGCCAGGCCCCCAGGGGCCGAGCCGACAGGGTGTCCCCCAGGTACCCATATTCTCCTGTGATTCCCACCCAGGGAGGGTGACAGCTGTCACCCAGAGCCCTGGTCTCTTTTCCCATGGAACTTAGCTTTGCAGAAGTTTCTCCGGAATTCCTAGGAAGCCCCCCTGAGACACACGGAGGACGCCCTCTGCAAGGTGAGCCCGGTCGGAGCCAGCAGCGGCCAGAGCAGGCGAAAGGCATCCTGGGCACAGACTGGCAGAGGCCAGGGCACCTGCTGCCCACCCGCTGTGATGGCCCTGGTGTCACCAACAGCAAGCAGCAACAAAGTCACCATTGAGGCCGGGCGCGGCGGCTCACGCCTGTCATCCTGGCACTCTGGGAGGCCGAGGCGGGAGGATGGCTCAAGGTCAGGAGTTCCAGACCAGCCTGAGCAAGAGTGAGACCCCGTCTCTACTATACATAGAAAGAAATTAATTGACTAACTAAAAATATATATAGAAAAAATGAGCCGGGCATGGTGGCGCGTGCCTGTAGTCCCAGCTACTCGGGAGGCTGAGGCAGGAGGATCGCTGGAGCCCAGGAGTTGGAGGTAGCTGTGAGCTAGGCTGATGTCACGGCACTCACTCTAGCCCGGGCAACAGAGCGAGACTGTCACCATTGAGCTCCTTGAGAGTTTCCAAAGAAAACGGCACTTGTCATGGAAAAACAGCAGGGCCCCAAGACTCGGCTGCAGGAAACCAGCCGTGTCTTGTCCTCTCCAGCTGGGAAGCCAAGGCGCAGGGAGACACTCAGGCAGGAGGACTCGTCTGCATTCTCCAGCTGGGAACCCAAGGCGCGGGAGACTCTCAGGCGGGAGGTCAAGCACAGGGCTGCCACGCGGTCCGGCAACTCCGCTCCAGGAACGCGCCCAAAACAAACGAAAGCACACGTCCCCACACAAAAACGGGCGCAGGTACGTCCGCGACGGCGCCATTCGCACAGCGGCCCAGAGCGGAAGCGACCCAGAAGCCGCCCGCAGACGAACGGGCCCACGAAACGTGGCCGGTCCACACGGTGGGACGTTACTTGGCTGCACAAAGGGCATGAAGCACCGGTACACGTCACAACACGGCTGAGCCTTGAAACGTGACCCTTGGCGGGAGAAGCCGGACACACGGGCCACGTACGGTTCCGTGCGGCTCCACGCGTGTGAAATGCCCCCGACAGGCGGATCCGTGGAGACAGAAAGCAAGAGTGGCGGCCGCCAGGGCCTGGGGGGCAGGAGAGCGGGAGTGACCGCTGAAGGGGGAGGGGGGTTTCTCTCGGGCACAGAGAGAGAATGTTCCGGAACTCGGCGGCAATGGCGACCGTCTGACTCTGTGAACGTGTCGGCGTGGTGTGACGCACCGAGTCACGCTCCTGCAAAGGCGACTCTTACCCTGCGTGAATTATCCTCTCGGTCATGGGGAAAAAAAAACCAGGAGAGAGACTGGAGGAGGTGAGAGGACCCGCCGGAGGTGTCACAGCCGGGGGTGACGTCACGCGCGGGGCGGGCGCTGTCACCCTGGGCTGGGGGGCTCTTTCGTCCGTGTGGTCCGTGCAGTTTTGTGGCCTGGTCCTGGGGTCGGGGGGCGTGAGTAACCGAGAGGCTGGAAACAGGGGGCTCAGAACTGCCTCTGGGATCGACCCGTCAAGGTTCAAACCCCGGCTCCACCTCTCATGAGCTGTGTGGCCTTGGGCAAGTCACTTGACCTCTCTGTGCCTGAGTCTCCCCCTCGGTAAATGGGGCCGGTGGTGACACTTCCTGCGGGACACGGGTGGGGAGGGTTGGATGGATCCGGCCACGGGCAGCCCCTTAACGTCCTCGCCGGGGACCTCAGGTGTCCCGAGAAGCGGACTCCACTGCACGCCTACTCTCTCCCTAACGCAGTCAGAACCTCCTCCCGGGCCCGCGTGCCCCGCACCGCCGGGCCTCTGCGCGTGCGCCTCCTCTCTCCTGGGACGCCCCGGGTGCCGCCTGCGGACTCCCCGAGTGGCCTTCCTTCAGGGGCCAGACGGAGGCCCCACGCCCGTTCCGGAAGGCACCCTGACACCCCACGGGTCCCCGTCTCCGGTCTTCTCCAGCACCGGGGAGGCGCCACCGAGGCCCGGCGGCAGCAGGGACCCCCAGGGCTGGGGGGACCCCCGGGGAAGAGGGGCGGGTCCTGGGGCGGCCTATCTCCCGCTCCGCCACCCCGGCATGCCGAGACCTGCCCTGGAAAGGAGGGTGGGCCGCGTGCCCCCACTGCCCGGGCGGGGGGGGGTCGCTAGGCGCTGGGGTCTCTGCTCTCCGCGTCCACCTGCTCCCCAAGCCCAACGCCGCGGGATGGTGGAAACCACTCCGCCTTCCTCCCCGAAACTGTCACTTGGTGGTTTCTGCCCCCAGCCCCCGCTCACTTCCCCATTTCACAGAGGGGCCCGCCTCCGTCTCTCACACCCCAAACGTGCCCCTCACTGCCCCCGCTCCGGGACCCTGCCCTGCCCCCCGGCTCCATGGAGTGCCACAGCCTGGACACAGGGCCACGCCCTCTCCCGCTGTTCCCCAGTTCGACGTCCTTGTCCCCGTGCTGACGTGGAAGGCGGCGGAGGTTATTGCCCGCAAGGTCCCCCCCTGTGGCCAAAACAGCACGGAGCCCCTCCAGGGTCGGGAGAGCCTCCCCGAGAGGGCCCGGTGACTGTCCGCCAGCCTGGCTTCGGTCCCGCATCCCCAGCTGCTCAACACAGGCCAGTTCGCGTCTTCTGGGCCCGAGAGAACGTTCCGTGATGACGACGGGAGACGTCTTGTGCGTGCACCTCAGTGGGCGGGTTGGCTGAGATCCAAAGCTTCGGTTTTGTTTAATTTTAATCAATTTGGTTTCAAGCTCTACGGGTCACTGGCCGCAGGGGCTTCCCATGGGGCGGTGCAGGTCGGCCCGGTGACTCTCCGTGCGGCTCGGCCACTGGCAGGGCGCCGTGTCAGGAGCCCCCCAGGGAGCGGACGCTTCCCACTGGCCGGTTGGGACGCCCTCGGGAACACCGACCAGAATGCCCTTCAGCACGCCGGGTCAGTGGAGTCACCGCCAGGTGTGGCACACGATGAAATCATCTCCTCTTTCGCCCACTTCCCCCTTTCGGGGAACCAACCTTTCAGATCTGCGTTCAGGGCACGCCTGCAATCAGAAGTCTCCCGCAGGTACGCAGCAAATGACTTTCATGCTCCCCTCCCAGGCAGGCAGTCACTGTATCCCTCTAACCCTCAGAAAGCGCAGTCACTGGGCCTCATCCCCTCCCCAGGCACCCAGCGCCTCCATGGCAGGACCTGTGACTTACTTTCACCCCGCCCCGCCCCTACGCTCCCGCTCCTCCCCCGGGCTGACGCAAGGTGCTCGGGATCTGCCCAGGCGGTGGCCGCTGCAAGAAGCCAACGTCTCTTTCCAAACCAGGGCTGGCTGCGGGCTGTTTGTGCTGCTGCTGCTGCTGCTCCCCCGCGGCCGGCCCCACCGGTCTGACCCGCCGCCGCCTCTGCCCCACAGCCCCTGGGAGGTGACGGCGCCCTGAGTCAAAGGCATCCACCAAACCAGGATGAAAAGCCAGGCGGGCGGAGCTCTCGGTTTCAGTAAAGCCACATAAAACCTCATCCGCCCGCCACGGCCCCTCTGCAGGCCGGGGTCAAGTGCCAGGACGATCAAGGCCCCCCGGAACACAGCGGCTGAGCAGGGCCGGGGCAAGGTCCTTCCCGCCCCCGGGCAGTCCCTCTCCCCAGCACAACACACGCCGCCGACAGGCTCTGAGGCTGTCCCCGACCCCAAGGCCCTGGGAGGCCAGCGCTGACCGAGTGCCTGACCGAGTGCCACGGCCGTCCAGAGGCCCTGGAGGGGGCCCTGGAACCAGCCCGTGCGCGCCTGGGACTGGGGCCCGCGACCTCTGACCCCACCTGGCTGCTCACCCGTGGCTCTGAAAGGCTCGCTGCGAGCAGGGGCCGGCGCCGCAGCCTGGGAGCCCAGGGCGGCGGAGCCTATCTCGGCTGGAACCCCGGAAGCCGCCAGAAATGTCGCTTTTCTTTGTCCTCCTCCTTCTCCTCCTCCTCCTCCTCGGAGGGGAGGACTGAAACCCCCACCTCCACCGGCTGGGGCTCAGGCAGGAAGTGGCCTCGGCTCCAGGCAGAGGCGGTCTCTGGGGGGGGTGCAATACAGGGGGGGCCTGTCCAGGCGGAGGGCAGGTGTAGGCCCCCCACCCCCCCAAGAGACCCGGCAAACCCACACAGGCCCCGTGTGCGGCCTCCCCCACGGCAGGCCACCGAGGGCCGTGTCAGCTGACATCACCGGCCACCAACGAGCAGGAGAGGCCCACGTCAACACGAGACCACGGCAAGTGGCCCGTGTGCAGGCGTGAGCTGGGGGCCTGGGCGTCCCCAGGGGGCAATGACGTGTGACAATGGCGATCACACCCACGAGAACACCGGCAGCAGGTGAACCCTTACTGAGAAGCCCTGGTCACCACGCTGGGCGATTTAAAACACGGAACGGCCTTGGAATTCTCAGAGCCGCCTCGTGAGTAAACTGAGGCACTGAGTCCAAATAACTTGCCCGAGTCCTCTCGGGGAGAAAAGGCAGAGCCAGGATTCGAACCTGACTACCCGGCCTCTCAGCCCACGAGCTCAGCCACCACGCCACGCACCCTTACGAACGAGCAGCCACGAGGGCCGCAGGCCACGCTTGCTCACCGCGTACCTGGCGTGCAGGCGGGAGGGGACGCCGGTCCCAGCGGGGCCTGAGTCCAGAAAGCTTTCCGGACCCCTGAGCTCGGCACGGCAGGGGCGGCCCCGCACAGCGGCGTGCAGGAGAGGCGGGCTGCTCGGCCGGGCAGGTGTCGGCTCCCAAGGCCTTCCCTCCCGTGCCAAGAAGCCAGAGAGGAGAGGACCCCGGCGGAACCACGCTGCCAACGCCACCTCGCCAGTCAGGGCGGGTTCGCACGCGGGGGGCGGCTCCGCCTGGAAGATGTCCGCAGTCACGCCAACTGTGGTCACCTCCCAGAACTCAGCACTCGGGACTCAGGTCGGTGGGGTTCCCAGCACTGACCTCCGGGAGCCTCTAAAGGGGAGAAGGGGCAGGGGGGCAGGGGCTGCTGGCTCTTTCCGTGCAGGTAACTCAGGACAGGAAAGGACAGCTGTGAACCTGGGGGCGTCAAGAACCCTCTGACTTCTCCCCACTAAGCCCCCCCACCCCCGTCCCAAGCCCAGCCCAGCCCAGCCCAGCCCTGGCCTGGCTGCAACTGTGCTAATGAGGTGTGAGCTACCGGCCCCACCTACGGACAGAGAAACTGAGGGAGTGCACAGGGCAGGGTTTCCCAGGAGCCTCCCCCCCCACCCCCAGTATCTGGGTCAGGAGGCTGGCAGCCTGCTCCAGCCACCGACCCAGCCCACGCCGGATCCACGATGAATATTCATGAGCCTATCCGGTTCCACACTTTCATTTCTGGCCCAAATTAATAATTTACCGCGGAGTTTCATAAAATCAGACATAGCTCATTAGCAGCTCGCCCAAAAGGCACGCCTGCCTTCCCCGCCGGTCCCGGTCTTTCCTCTGTGACAGGCACGGACGCCCTCGTTTTCAGAAGTGTCCCCCGCCTCCAGCCGCTGCGTGGGCAGAACCCGGAGCTGGGGGCTCCCGGGAAGGCCGCCCCACCCGAGAGCGCCCTGGCCTCCGCCTTCCGGAAACTTTCGAAGGGGGACCCTGGAGCAGGATGGAATCTCTCTCGCGCCTGGGGCAAGGCTACGCCGCCGTCCTGGAAACGCAGACTTCACGGGGGCGTGGGTGGGTGGAGCGGGTGACTGCATCTTCCAGAGAGGCACCAGGCTCTTCTAGAACATTCCGTACCCCGCTCAAGGGGTAGAGCCTAATGCCCTGCCAGACGCATCTGGGTGGGCTTGTCCCTCACTCGGAACCAACGGGTCGTGGCATGACCACGTGGGCCTTCCCAGGCCAGGCCCTGAAGGGCCAGGCAGCTTCCTCCTGGGGACCTGGGACCTGCCTTGGAGCCCCGGGGCCGCCATGTTGGGAGGAAGCCCAAGCCGCGCTCTGAGAGTCGGACAGGCGCGAGGGACAGACGGCCTTCAGGTGACACCAGCCTCAGGCCAGCAAATCGCCTCCCCTTCCCATCCTCCCAGCCAAGGCCCCAGGCACGGTGGAGCAGAGACCAGCCACAGCCCACCACGCCCGGTCCGAATTCCTGACCCGGGGCATCTGGGAGCAAAATAAAACGGTGTTTTATGACCACACGTGCGTGTCCTTAGGAAGTCTCCCCCCATTCCAGGGAGTCCTGGTCCCCTGCAGACCCACCCTTCAGCCCCCCAAGTGCCGATCTGACCGCCCCAGCCATGGCCCGGCACCCCTGCGGTTGGCGCTACAGTGAAGATGGGCTCGAATGGGCCTATGAGCAAAAGTTTCCAAAAGGGAAACTGGGTGCGGGTGAGGGGGGGGGGGGGGTGGAGGTGGGAGGGGGGGAGAAGGTGACAGCTTGTCCCTGGTCCTTAAAGATCTAAGGTAAATGCTGATGACACTTGCAGCAGGCTGGTTGCTGGGAGGGGGGGGCTGGGGGAGGGGGAGGGGCTGCTGTGATCCCCCCCAGGCAGCTGCCGGCCCTGCCCCCTCACCCCGGGCCCTCTCCCCTGCGAGCTGGGTGAAGACCCCGCTTTATCTCCTCCTCCCCTTCCTTTATGTTCCCGCAGGCCCCCCTTTCTCTTGTCAGATAATCACAGGAAACCGGCAAACGGTTGACACAGTTACCAAGACGACAGAAGTTAGGACTGGCGGGGAGGTCTGAAAGCTAACCCTAAGTGAATTATAGGACAAGAGTGACAAGGGGAGGGGAGTGTCGGGGGACCAGTTCAAAGGAGGAGGCCCCAGATTCGCAGACAAGGTGGCTTCTGCCTCGGGGGCCCTGGCTGCAGGGTCTGTCACTTGCTGGCAGCCCCGCTGGGCAGGCAGGAGGGTGACACTGGACCCCTCTGGGGGTGGGAGGCTGCAGGAGGAACCTATGATGATGAGGTCCTCCACAGAGTTCACCCACTGCAGACCTGGGGGCAGCGGGGCGGGGCCTGGACGGCCTCACCAGGGAGGCTCCGTTCCTTCTTTATTTATTTAAGACTTGCCACTGTGTGCACCCCGCCGCACAGGGCCCGGCCTGCTGACAGCCATGCCGGGAGTCTGAGCTCCTCGAAGGCCCCACAGTGGCCCACGGCAACGCCCGGCCTGCGCGGCCCACCACCTCCACCGTGCCGTGGCCGGGTCTCCCGGGAAGGGCTGTCTTCCCTGGCGCCTGTCTGCACTCTGGGCGGCGCAGAGCCCAGCCGGGAACTGTCAGTCCAGACCGAGAACGCGGCCGGCGGTCCCTGCAGCGCTTGGCCAGCGCCTCTCGCCAGCTCACTCGGACGACCCTAGCAGGCAGGCAGCTCTGCTGGCCCCATTTAACAGACAAGCAGACTAAGGCCCAGAGAGGGTAAGTAGCCTGCCCAGAGCCACACAGCCAGGAAGGAGCCCACAGCTCTGACCCGAGTCCCTTGAGCAGGCAGCGACGTGGCGTCAGAAAAGCCTGCTGACCTTGAGCCCCCGGCCAGGCCTGCGGGCAGACCCCGCAAGGGCACCTCGGGAGCCCAGGCCGCCGGGACGCCGCTCCTCCTGGACTGCAGCCCCTGAGACCCGGGGTCCTTCCTGCCTTTGCTCACACCCTCTCCCAGCCGTGGACCTGGCCCGAGTGCGAGTCACCCCACGCCCGCTTCCCAGGCTTCCCGGGAACCCCGAGTGCGGCGGACGGGGCAGCCTGGTTCCGGGTGTGCGCAGGAGGCAGCCGTTTGGTTCTTGGAGGGGGTGGAGGCCACGTGAGGAGGCCACGGGGCGGGCAGCAGAATCCCCCGAGGGCTGGTGGACGCGCGGCCTCGGCCCCCACGCCACCCCCGCCCCTGCCCCATCTCTGTCCCCAGAGCCCACAGCACAGGGCACCTCCTGTGCCATCGTGGGAATGGACGCTCCAGGCGGGCTCGGGGGGCTTCCTGGCTGCATCACCATGTGCCCAGCACACGGGAAACACACGCCAAACACATATGTGAACTCGCTGCTTAAAACTCGGGTTGCCGCCCATTGATGACACAGTCGATCCGTGTGTCATTGGCTCTGTGACATTCGAGTCCCTCCAAAATGGGGCTCCTGCCACCCAGCCGCTTCACACCCCCCTCGCCAAACTCCAGTCCCTCCTCCCTGCCCTTCCAGGGAGGCCCAGGTGGAGGCCGCCTCCCCCCAGCCCCCCAGCCCCTGCCCCCCACCGGCAACCACACCACCCTCTAGACCCGCAGCTGCGCCCCGTCTGCCCTGCCCCCAGCGCTCTGAGGCCCCCACGGCCTGGCCCACGCAGGTCACGGTCTGGCCCACGCAGGTCACGGTCTGGCCCATGCAGGACACGGCCTGGCCCACGCAGGACACGGTCTGGCCCATGTAGATCACGGTCTGGCCCAGGCAGGTCATGGCCTGGCCCAGGCAGGACACGGCCTGGCCCACAGGACACGGCCTGGCCCACAGGACACGGCCTGGCCCACAAGTCACGGTCTGGCCCAGGCAGGTCATGGTCTGGCCCGCAGGACACGGCCTGGCCCAAGCAGGTCACGGCCTGGCCCATG